AAACACACAGTGCTGGGTGGGTTTTACAGCTGGAATGTTTCACTGAAGCCGTGGGTCATCGGCAGCTGTATGAAGGAGAAGGAAGGTGCTTGGTGAACACAAATGGGGAACTGGCTGATCCCAGTGTAAGGTGCAGTATGAAGGAAACATAAAGGACAACATCCCTGAGCTCTCTCAGCCCCACTCAAGCCTCTGTCCCTTCCAGCCCCAGTTCTCTCAACCCTCTACATGTTTTTGCCACAGCTAAATCCCGCTCTGCTCAGCCCACTCTCCCCAGCAGTAAGCTCTCTTGGGGTATTGTGCTCTACAGCCACCACTAGAATTTACACAGAATTCCTCATGGCTGGATCTGGATTGAGGCTGCCCCCGCCCACCCCAAACACAGACATGGCCAAGACTCCTCTCCCCTCGTCCCCGCTGCCTTGGATCTTTAGCTAGTTCCAGAATTTTAAAAGAGCCCTTGGCTGCAATTATTGTCTCACAGTCTCCTGCTGTCGGTACTTTAGGGATATTGGGCCCTTCACGGCTGGCAGGTTTGCTGGATGAGATGGATCGTGCTGGTTTTAGGCTTGGTCTGAAGTACCAATTTATGTCAGTATAACTACTTCACTCCAGCTAGAAAAAAAACCTATATTAGAGTTGGACAAGGTGCAGAGAAGGGCAACAAAAATGCTGAGGGGTATGGAACAGCTTCTGCACGGAGACTGGGACTGTTCAGCTTCAAAAAGAGACGACAAGGGGAGATCTGATAGAGATCAACCTGTGGAACTCGTTGCCAGGGGATGTTGTGAAGGCCAAAAGGATAATTGGGTTCAAACAAGAAATTAGATCAGTTCATGGAGGCTAGGCCCATCAATGCCTATTAGCTAAGACAGACAGGGATGCCACCTCATGCTCTGGGTGCCCCTAAACCTCTGACTGCCAGAACCTGAATCTAGACGACAGGGGAGCGATCACTCAATATTCCTCCTGTTCTGTTCATTTCCCGTTAAGCTTCTGGCACTGGCCACTGTCAGAAGACAGGATCCTGGGTTCAATGATCTTATGTTCTTATTAAAAATAACAAAACATTCATTAAAAATAGTATTAAAATGTCCTTTGCATACTTGCCGAAGCTTGGATTATAGTTATAACAAGTTCCGAAACACAGAACATGGGGACTGCGGGGAGAGCTGTATAGACAGGGCACCAGGTTTCTGAGAGGCTATGAGAGGAGATCACTGAGGCGTAGGGGCATTTTTAAATTGGCTTCTCTGTGGCTTGTGGGTCCTTGCGGTGATTTGTGATGATTTAGCTGTCATTTCATAGCACCCGCCAGTGCACTAGATTGTAGCCACATGCGAAATATTCCCTTCCCCCACTCACTGACTGCACTCTCAGATACGCTTTCTGTTAAGAGTTGAGTTCCAACTCACATAGCCCCAGCACTACGAACCAACCTGGGTCACCATCTACCAGCCCCTCACTCAACAGGGTTTGCAAGAGAAGGGAGGCAATGTGGAGATCAACATGGGCAGGCAGACAGTGCCGGGGTGCAGGGGACAGTGACTCCCCAAGGAATGATCAAAGGCGTCTCTCTGTGTTTGTCAGCGAGTCTCTCTCTCTATTGTCTGTGACGGTGTCTCTAGGGAGTTCATGGTCTGACCCTCACATGGGCACAGGCAGACAGGCTGTGATGGAGAGTTTTGGTCTCAGTTCTCCATCTCACTGTATCACTGTGATGAGCGTTACTACTGCCATCCCATGTGGCACAGTAATAATCAGCATCATCCTCTGCTTGGATCCCCGTGATGGTTAAATAGCAAATGTTGCTGGAGGTGTCTTTGGAAGCAGAGAACCGAGCAGGGACCCCAGAGCCCTGGTGCTTGCTAGATTCGTCTTTGTAATACAGCAGATATCTCGGAGGGTTCCCGGCTGTTTGCTGAAACCAGTGAATGTAGTAGCCACTGATGCTCGTTCCACTACTCATGGTGCAGGAGAGTTTGATGGTGCCTCCTGGGGGCACTGACTCTGAGGCAGGCTGAGTCAGAGTTGGCTGCGCGCTGGCAACTGTCAGAAACAAAGACCCAAGTGAGCTGTGACCAAAAAAGAAATTAGCGAAGCTCAGTGGCTAGAACAGGGGACGGGTGGTCAGGACTTTTACGTCCTGCTCCCTGCCCTTCTAAAGGCTCCTTTGGGATCTTGGAGAAGTCACTTCTGTGCCTCCGTTT